TTTTTTTTTTTTTTTTTTTGCTATTATTGCGTTTTTTTTAATTTTTTGAATGACTTTTAGGTAATTTACCAGTACCCTTTTTTACTTCCAATCGCTCAAAAATCTTGAAGAATTTGTTTAATAAAAAAAAGTGTTCAAAGAAAATTAAAAATGTTCATTATTGAACTCAAGTTGAGTGTTTTGTATGCCAACTAATTTTTTAAATTTATAAGCTTTTGAGTTAGAAGACGTCTCGCTGCAACTTTATAATTAAGAGCGATTGAATTCTTATTTTGAAAAATTCTTAATTTATTGAAGAGTTCTTAATTTATCACTAAAACTGAGCTATATAATCGTTGGGTTTTGTAGACAGACTGAATAAATGAATAAGTTTTAGCGTATCAATATATTTGATAAAGAATTAATAGGTGCACATATACTATTAAAAAAGTGAAAAAAAATGTGTAAGACGAACAAAAACTTGATCAGGTTAAGATGGTCCAAGAAGAAGTAAAATTTATTTGCTTCTTCTTTCGGTGAAAACTTCTTTAAGGCAACAATTTCGTTGTTAAATATGCCCTTGTAAACGACACCTTGAGCACCTTCTCCAATCTTTTCCAAAGTTGAAATTGTCTCAAAGCGTATTTTACGTTTATATAAATCTGGAAAGCAATAGTAATTAAACTGTGTAGAGTCTAATCAGAAAAATTCAGTTTTCTGCACTAATATGTCAATCAGAATATTGATGAAAACTGTGGACGAAACAGTGATAGATATAATTCAAGAAACAAGAAGACTTTCGGAAAATAGATTTGTTTGTGTGAAAGAAATGAGATTATGCTATGGAAATGATATACACTTGTTTTGCGCAAAAAAAAAAAACATTGAAGGCGTCTCTAAAGATAAGCCATTTTTGATTAAACATATAGCCTATTGGTCAGCATACAAATTACCACTTTTTTCTCCACTTACCGGTGAGAAGCCGTCGAATATCTTCTTCCTTAGCAACGTCAAACGGAGTTCTCTAAAAAACAAAAAAGAATTTCTACAGGGTTTCGCAACCTCCTCTCTTCAACTGTTTCGCTGACGATGCCCGACAATTAGGATTTCAGAAGAAAGCAGTCTTTAATTACTATCTCAACAGTACAAAAATATAAGTTATTTCTGCTACAGACTTAATATTTTTTCATTTTTCCAAATTCTATTATTTACTGTTATGCCGCTTAATAAGTTTTCATAAATTTTATCACAAACTGCAGCTGTTTTATGCAAACAAATTTTGAAACACAGAAATTATCGCCATACTTTTTTCACAGGTAATTTTCGTTTACAGAATACTGTAACAACTTTTTTTGAATGAAGATATCCAAAACCACTTTTTCAGCTCATCAACTGCTGCTCTTTAAGGCTCCAGAATAGTGGACAAAATTTCAAAACGAAATTACAATTTGTAAAGGACCGCACTGAAGCTATTAAAAGCTGTTCACCGTCTTTTAAGAAAATAGGACTTGCCGTTACTGTTTATCAGCAACAATATAATCGCTTACTTCTTTGTAATCTTTAGCGTTAACGTCAGCACCGTTTTCGAGAAGGCATTTCACAGCTTCATAGCAGCCATTTTGCGATGCATAATGCAGAGGAGTGAGCTGAGAAAGAATTATCGCTAAGACTTTCTTTGATTTATAAGAGACTGTGATACTGTTCTACTACTCTTTCTTCTGTTTTTTTTTTCGTTTCTGGCTTTACTGATTGCACTTTTTACCTTCTCTCGCTTAACTGTCTTACTTCTTTAGATTTTACTTTATTTATTCACTTCTGTGTATTCAAATTTTATTCCATAAATACTATTCACATATTGTAAATTTTTCACTTCTATGGTAAAATGCAGTTTGTGAAAAACTCTAATTAGTCTGTTGATAACTGTTTTGTAAGCAAACGAAATCTTCCAAAACTATTCATTTTCATGATATCAATAAGTTCGCCTACTTTTTTAAAATCTCTAGCGTTAACATTGGCACCATTTTCGAGAAGACATTTTATTACTTCGGAGTGACCTTGAATTGATGCGAAATGCAATGCGGTACTCTGCAAAAAGTTTACGTCTTGAAATTACTGCTGATTATAAATTTCATTTATAGTCTGCTGTTTACTTTTGCCTTCAAAAATTCCTTACTAAACTTCTTATCTTTTTTCTTTTAACCCTTCAAGCCTCTCGCTTCAATAATCTTTGATTTATTTTAAGACTTTTATATATCCAAATTTTAAAACGTAAAAAGTCGTCCAAAAACACCAGTTTTTGGTATGTACCGCTTGCTCTGATAGTAAAAATGTCATTTTAAAAGTTAAAGAAATTTTCTTATCAGTTGATACTTTTTGTGCTTTCTGAAGCATTATTCTCTTTTTTAAAATTACTTTGACTCTTTTTATAGTGCAAATAGAAAGAAATTTTTTTCAAACGCATACTTTAAAAAAATATATACGGTGTGTAGAACAGACTGTCTGATAATGTGACGAAAAATGACCTCATATTTACCCTTCTCACTAGCATCGGCACCGTTTTCGAGAAGATATTTTACCAAGTTTAAGTAACCTGCGCTTGATGCGATATGTAGCAAAGTCCACTGTGAAAGATGTTTCTCAGAATCTTCTTTAATTTAAAAGCTCAGTTGCCCTCTTCAACTAAAACCTTTGCTTTGATAGCTTCTAATTAGTCCGTCCCCCTCGACTTTTACAGTGGACTTTGCTACATATCGCCTCAAGCGCAGGTCACTTCAACTTGGTAAAATATCTTCTTCTAAAGCAGTAAGTTTTCTGGACTTGATTAGATTCTTTAAAAGAAGCTGTTTTAGTTTTTTTATTCGACGAATTGTTTACCTCATCCGTAGTTTTTGCAACAACGTTGACGTCATATGCAAGAAGACATTTCACTGCTTCTAAATGATCTTTTTTCGACTGCATCTCCTAAAAAAACTGCCAGAAAAAACTGCTTTTAATATTAAATTTGCTCTTTTTTTGTTTACTTAAACTTGATTGTCTATAATCCTCAACTTTAACCGCTGAATTTCTTTCAGTGGGTCCGGTTTCTTTATTCCCCTGTAAAGATTCGTTATCAACTGCAAATGAAAGAGAACTGTTCTGTGTAAGAACTGCTGAAAACTTCAGAACTTTTTTCAATTTTTGAGAATAATTTTTCAGTTTTTGCTCAAAAAAAACACTTTGTGGAAACTTCCGCATTGTCAAGGGTAAATTTCTACTTCTGCTCCAGTCGCTGCATCATTTCCATATTGTTTTGAAAGCGATACAATCATCTCAGAGTGCCTTTTATGCGTTTGCAAATATAATAGTGTGAATTAGGATATCTAAGCTCAAATTTTCTTCAGATCTAAACCATTTCTATTTTCTATGACCAGCTCCCTAAATGACATTATAAAACACTATATTCTTTTTTGCTACACCTTTCCTTATGCAAAATCGTTCATCACCTCCTAACTTATTGTTATTTAAAAGCTCTGTTAGCTCTTGTTTGATTTTTAGGGACCTGCTGCAGTCTCACAGTGTACTGTTCAGACATCACCCAGAATTTTCGAATTCTTCAAGCTTTTCTCATACACGTTACGATACAAAAACAAAATTCCCAGAAAGAATCTTTTGAATACTTCGAAAACAAACCTAGTTTGTTCTCAGACTTTACATTAATGCTGAAATTTTCTTGTTAGGGAGTATACTAATTTGGCTAAGGAAGAGCAAAAGCCACAAGATTAGCGTCCAGTCGTTTGATACCATAGCGGTGCCACTTGATACAATAGAGGCGCCGTACAATGTCTGTAGGCAGTGCCTGTACATGCAAAATGAGTGATCTCCTGGCTATCAGGGGATCAGTGAACCTTTTTGTTCCAAAAAAAAGCTTGTAGTGTGCTTTCGCTCAATTACCCAGTCACTACCAATTGTTTCCTTCCTTACACTCCTCTAAGAAATTTTATCACTCTGAAATGACTGTTACTCATCGCGAAATACGAAGAAGTAGGACGAAAAAAAGCACACTACTCAAAGCACTTTTCCTCTTATAGCAGATAAATCTTTTTCTTCCGCTCTTCGTTTAATTCGTACCCTTTATACTTTTACTCACCTAAACTTTCGTGTTCTGTAATTTTTGCTTATCTTTTTTGAATAGTCTACTGAAGTCGGGCGGCTCTATTCACTTTTTTATATCTACAGCTTTTTTTAATATTTTGGCTGTATGAAAATTTGTTTAAGATGCTGTGTTGTGCCGAGAGCTGCCATAAAAGTTCTTTCACACATTTTCTTCACGACTAATAGACGGGAGGAAATGAATCTGCTGAGTGTCGATGTTTTTGTCGAATTAAGAAACATTCAAGATTGAATACAGTATATCGTATATTGAATTTTCGCTAACAAAACCTAGCAAACAACATAAGTTTGGATAAACAAAAGGAAAACACAAAAATCCTTGTTCGCACCACACAAAACCAAAGCACTGCCGATGCCCAAAGGTCAGAAGAATAGCAAACTCTTTGTTTTACTTATTCTGGTAAAACAAAGAGTTTGCTCAATTTTGGGAGGCCAAATGGAATGGTCGCTCAAAGGAAGAGAGAAGTTTATTGTTATAAAATTTGGAAGGAAAAAACTTCGTTATCGAAAGAAACCTATCGTGCTGATCGGTTGTGTTTTGGAGCTCTCCTCAGGATTAAGTCTATTACCAATTTTTAATTTTAAAGTACTAAACTAGTGATTATTTGTGAACTATTTGATAGTTTTAATTCTGGTGCCACTCGGAATTATACACCAAGTCAGTGCTTCCTTTATAAAGTCTTTTATCCAGTTAATTATTGTGTTTTTCTTATGTTTATTGTCTTCTTTCTAATCTGTCTATCCTCCTCCATTCGCTTTATACCCACGAGTTTTTGTACACATTGGCCGTAATCTTATGTAATTTGGGGAAATTAAAGTCTTCCATTTAGAGTTACTCCCTTCACTAAAATTTTAAGTTACCTGTCGTAAAATTAAACAGATTAAGACCAAGATCTCGAAATAAGAGAGCTCTCTAGAGAAAAGAAGATTATGGTTTTCGCTAAAACAGAAATTACTGTAATAAGAGAGGTCTAGTTAAGCTTAAAATTAAATCAAATTGAATTACTGTAGAGATTAGAAGTTCTTCTACACTGATTTCCGTTTGAGAAGCATTTACCTCTTTGTTAGTTTCCGGCTTAAAGTCTGCATTGTTATTGACCAGACTTCTCATCGTTTCCGTGTTCCAGTCGAATACTGCACAATGTAATGGAGTCCACTGAAAAAAACATTCAGAATAATCTTTACTTTAAGTTTTTCAAACTTGGTGTGCCCAATTTCAATTCAGATTAGATCTACAATTTCTGTTTTCCTAGTTTTTGTGACTCGATTTACTATTTTTTTCTGGTTATAACTGTTAAAAACTCTTCTTTTCTTTCAATTGTCATTGAATTTTTCTGGAAACTTCTTACGGTCTGCCAGTATACTGAGAATTTCTATCCAGAAATATTTCGAGATTTCCGAAGCCCTTTAAATTCCTCTTTTTTTTGTGAGCTTTATGATAAAAAACAGAATCCGTTAGGAAAGTCCGTCTAAAAACTTATATTCTATTAAAAAAAAATAATTTTGCCGCGAAGATATTTATGATATTTTACACAGTTGCTTACATCGTTAGAACCCGTAGCATTAATGTTGGCTCGGTTCTCCAGAAGACATTTCATCACCTCAGAATGCCCTTCGATTGAGGCCCAATGCAGTGGAGTCCACTGAAAATATGGTGTTAATTAACATATTTTAATTTCAAGCATTATAAACATTATACATGTGTATATATAAATTTGGATTCAAAATAATTTAAAGAGCTATACTCTCTTTTATCAAACCTCTTCTTCTTCAACGTTGTCTGCTGTCATATTA